GTCCTCTCGGCAACCATGATTAGGGTCATAGTTGCGAGAACCCATCAGGGTTCAAGTTTCCACGCTGCGGGGCGTGGAAACTCGGACGGGGGGTTCCCCAGGCGTGTTGCTGCTCAACACGGGACTCGTCCTGATAATACATCTCGTCTGTTTCCTCAGGAGGCGGCATCGAAGCAGTAGCAGGAACCGTAGAGGATTCTTGTTCTTCGACATGGAACACACCATCGTCGCGAACATCACCGTCAGCCACAAAATTATCGCGGTGAGGACTGTACTAACCACGTCCACGTCCACGACCACGAGGTGATGAGGTATAGCCACCATGACCGAAACGTCCGGCAAAGTTGCTCACCGGAGTAGTGTTGTTGCTGTCCGTCTGGTTGTCCACGTTGGTATTCTCGGGGAGGACTACGGTTGTACGTCCAGGTAGGAGCTCGACTCCATCCTCCGCGACGGAAGCGCTGGGAAGGAGGATAGTAACCAACTCGAGGACCATCTTCTTGACCATAGGTACGGCGATAACCAGAAGAGCGTCCACCTCTTCCAAATCCGCGTCCAGCACGACCACGTGCTCGACCAGCATAGCCACCACGAGAGCCTTGTTGGCGAGCGTTGTAGTTCATTTCTTGACGAGCAAAGAACCGAACCATCTGCACTGGACCGATAACCGTAATGTTATGAGCGGAATCAGCAAACTTGTCTTTCCACGAAGGAAACATCATGTTGTAAAACAACATCTTGAGAGCAGGAGCATCAAAAGGGTTCGCATTGCCAGCACCAGGGAACTTCGCCATCAAGGTGTTGATGTACTCCAATCGAGACCACAAGGTCTTGCAATCGAGCTTGAAAGGCTTGGTCGTTGTCTGCAAGTATCGCGTCTGATCGGCGAGATCCGTATCTTCAAGGAACTTGGCTATGAACGAAGTAATGTAGGCATCGAAGTCAGCAACAGCTGCACCAGGACGCGCTGCTCGAATAATGTTCCACTTGTCTCGAGCCGAGCCTTGAAGACACTTGACAAAGAAGTTAGCTCGCAATGTTCCCGTGTCCAAATTCAAAGCCGAGTTGCCGGTCACTTGATCGAACTCCTTGATGACTCGAAGGACGTGTTCCGGTTCTTGTTCATCTGCCAGGACAATCATATCATGCTTCCGCTTGATGTTATTGCCAGCATGTTGCCAAGAACGGAACAACTCAGTAGTAGCAACCTCACTCGCATTGTACTCGGAGACCAAAGGAATGACCGTATTCTTGCCCGACTGACCAAGCGTTGTCATGGTGAGATAATGAACCTAGAAATAAATAACAAACAACAGTACTTGCGGCTTTATGGTTAGTAAGAGTCGCAAGTAATGATAAAGAAAAGAAGAAGGAGTAACTTCGTAATTTGAGTTACACCTTTGAGTTACCGTTGTTAATAGAGCGAATTTTCGAAATTGTTTGACAATGGCCAAACGCCTAGTATACGGCTGCGTAGAATGTACGCAGGAAGTTTCTTTTGCTTGATGTGCAAATTCCAACCGAACTTGCTTCTGAATTCAGAGTGAACTACGATCGGAATATTGTGAGATTAGACTTAAAACTAGCGTTAAAGCGCCACGTCACACACGTGCGTATGTCACTGCACCCAGTACCGTAAAGTGAATAAGGATGTCGATTGTCGATCGTCCTCTACTAGAGTAGGGCGGACTTTTAAAAAAAAAAGTCACACTTATTGGCTGTCACGTCTTCACCCCTTCTACATCCAGCGGCACGGCAGCTCCCGGCAGCAAGAGCACATCATCGCAAACAGAGCGAAGACAACTTTTGAACTTTGAACCTCTTGGAGGTCGACGACACAAATCTCATTACTAGTAGTTACAATGGAGAAAGGCAAATCCACAGACCATACTGCTGCTACTGGCAATAGCGAGGAAGACGATCAGAGCCAAAGCCAAAATGACAATGAGAAGCTATCAGATGATCTCTTCAACAGCCGTGAAGAGCTGGAAGAAGCCCAGTTGAAGGCCTCATTCAAACCAACTGCTGAGAACAAATCAAAATCTTCTTCCGATGGCTCAGCTGAAGCCATTGGCACTGATACCCTTGATACAACTCAAACAATTGAGATAGGGTGGCAAATATCCATCCGAGGCAGATCCCCGCCTGGAGCTTATCAACAACAGCCTTCTGGTGTGGAAGGAGCGGCAGCACTTCAAGTAGCAACCAACAAGGAGGTGGAAACCATCCGAGCTGCAATCCATGCCCATTCTGGCTGGTCTAGCACCGATACCAGCAACAGCACTGACCTGGAGAAGAAGCAGCATAATGGTGCTAATAGTGGAAAGACTGTCGAAAAGGAGGTTGCGAATAATGTAATTGTTGCTCATGAGAATGTACAAGCATCAAATACAGCAGAGGCACAAACACAAGGGGCTGTCTCTTGTGCTGCTGGGAACCGCAATGATCACAGAATCTTTGATCAGCCAGGTGCATATGCAGAAGCACCAACACTTTCAGAAGTGAACGCCAGAATTGAGCAAGATCAGCACGGAAGCCGCATGGGAAACATTCCAAGTAGTGCTGGTGATAATGGTTTACAGCCTTTTGGTGGCCAGGAAGGAGGGCTGGTGGACGCCAGAGCTGTGGATGATGAAGACCCTGAGCAAGTTCTGACAGAAGCAAGAGCGGTGGAACCAAGATCTAGGAATCATGAGCTAGTTCCTTACAGGCCACTGGGAGTAGGATTGCTTTTGGTTGCTGCTCTCTGTACAGTTGTGGGCCTTATTGTGGGCATCAAGAACAACGGGGTCCCCTCATCAGAAGAGGCCACTGCCATGCCAACTGTGCCACCAACAGCACCACCAACTGTATTCACTACAAGAGGTTTTATTCTCCAGACTGTGCTTCCCGACGCTACTGCCAGGGCTGTAATTGGAGATGATGGTGATAGTGCAATGCCATCTCCCCAGAGTCAGGCACTCGAATGGACCCTCCAAGATCCCTCTTTGGAGACATATCTGCAAGATCACCAACGGTTTCTACAGCGATTTGCTCTGGCAACTTTCTACTATTCTACCAATGGAAATGTATCCTGGGGAAACAATGAGAAATGGCTGGACTACAACCCCCACGAATGCCATTGGTTCGCTAAAGATGATATTGCCTTTGCTCAACCAGATGATCAAGTTACCTACCTCGAAGACTATGATCAGATGGTCAATATGAGTCCCTGTGAGCTGCCACCCAATGTGACCATGCCCACAACTGCCACCTTGACTCGTGAGTCTTCCTTCAAACATCTATGGATGTACACAAATCGATTGGATGGGACTTTTCCAATGGAAATATCATTTTTGCAGTCCTTGCGAAGCATCTCTGCCTACGTGAACCCCAAACTGAGGGGCAGCATCCCAACTGAAATAGGCGTTCTCACGAACTTGGAATTCATTGCTCTGCCTTATTGTTCTCACACTGGGACTTCTACCCACGGAGCTGGGTCTGCTGACAAAGCTTCATTTCCTAGTTGTTTCCGTCAATGCATTTACTGGCAGCATTCCTTCTGAGATGGGATTGCTCAATGCCTCATTGAGGACTCTAATGCTGGATCAGAACATGTTTACAGGAACAGTTCCAGAAGAACTCTACAATATCACCTACCTCAGGACTCTCTACTTGTTTACTAATTCATTGGAAGGGACACTTTCTACTAAGATTGGTCAGCTTACTAACATGTGGGACTTCCAACTTGCGCATCCGCCAAATCATTTCTCAGGCATGGTACGTGGGTGGGTGATGCTTGTACCTGTACCATGTTCAGCACTAGTTGTTTGACTCACAAATAACTCGCAATCACAGATTCCATCCGAAATTGGAAAGTTGCATATTCTGAAACGATTCATGGTCTTTAATGTTGGTATCACTGGAACGATTTGCACAGAAGTTGGCCTGCTTACAACCGCCTTAGAGTTCTGGAGCTAAAACGCAATGCCCTAACTGGCCCAATCCCTTCAGAGATTGGGCTTCTTTCGACCGCAACTCAGGTATTTCTTGACGACAACACGCTCACTGGAACAATTCCGACAGAGATAAATGGAGATAATTTGCCAGAGTTGTTTGCATGGGATGTGAGAGGGAATGATGGCCTGGTGATCCACTCTGACAGTGACAATGTCACAGATTTTGATGTGTTTCCAGGAGAGTTTGGGGGTTGCTGGGTCAACATGACTTACATTGACCTGTATTGCCCCGTGATCACTCCAAACACATCCAACCACTGCATTAATTGTGAATGCAGCTGTGCACCCAGAGATGAAACAGCTAATTAATGTGATTCCATAATCTTAGTTCCTTCAATACTTGAGCATGTGCCGTGCCGTGCCGTATCGGTATTCAAACTAACTGTCAGGCTCCCGTTCCGTACCGCGTGTCTGGCTAGCTAGCTACGTACTGTTCGTACGTTCGATCCAAAGCGCCACGAGCGACATGTCAAAGGACTTTTTCCAACGTTGTACGGTACGTTTCAAATAATTGTAGCTAGTAGACTAGCTAGCTGGTTGTAATAGCAAAGTATCTACTTTGCATTAGTGCTGCATGCATGTGTAGCGACATGAAAGAATATCAAATCGATGCCTGACATGGTGGCGTTGGTGTACCGTAGTAGAGTCTCTGTTGAAGCAAACGGTGTACCAGTAGTACATGTACGCGCCGATCCAATCTGCGATCACGGCGAACTGTTGTTCTCTTTTGTTTGTCTTTTCTTGTTCCCAACGATTATTAGACGGGAACCAGAGGCATTGCTGGTGGATGGTGTGGTGGTGGTGCTCGAATGTCACTACTACTACTACTGTCAGGATGGCGTCGAAAGTTGTTCCCGATACGTCGTACCGCCTTGGAAAAGGATCGTGTGGCTCGCGGCAGTGTCCGCTCTTTGCGTTGTTTGAAGGGTCCAAAGGATCTCGTGGCCCGTGGAGGTTTGCGCCGACGTTCTCCTCCTGATTCTTGTGGGTGATTGTGTTCCGGACTGTCGTTGCTGTTCTTTTCGGCAGCTGTGCTTTGTTCGTTCGCCGGTGCTGGTGTTGCTATTATGATTGGTAGAACAATCGGTTCGGCCTTGAGGAGTTCCTGGACGTAGTGTTCATCGACCAGAGCCAAGAGTCTCGCCAGGGCGTTCGATTTGGCGGAACTCTTTCGGGACAAGTCAGACATGAGTTGCTGCTGGGCATCGTTGTCGTCGTCGACATCATCCAGAGCTTGCGACAGCAGGATCGTTTGGGCATGCCGTTTTCGATGTTGCGAGCTCTGTTGCTTGAATTCGCTAATGATTTCCTTTTCCAAACCCCGTACTTGTTCGTCCAGAGCATACTGCAGGGGAAGAATGCGTTCTACAGATGCTTCTTCTTCCGAGTTTGACGACAACAAGGCCATCCAGCCGCGACTCTTCTGGCCTTCGGCCAACAGTTGCCGTCGTAACTTTTTGGCGTGTCCGCGAGTTTCCAAGCAGTTTTGATACTGTTCTTCCGAGTTGACATAGAGATCGTATGGGTTCTTGGGCCGTCGGTATCGATGCCGGATGCGCAGCACCTTGTCGGGATGTTTGGGATCTGGTTGCCAGCGGACCGTCTTGTTATTGTTGTTGTTGATGTGGACAGATGAAGAGCTCGTGATGGAAGACTCGTCGGCCAGGACGGTCACGAGAGTCGACTCACTCATACTACCACCACTATCGATCTTGTTCATCATGGTTGCAACCGAGGGCTCTATAGCTAGCTAGCTACCTAGCTAGTAGAGGAGAATACTTGCTAGCTATAGTAGTGCTACTTGAGAATTGTTTGTTGTGTCTTCAATGATGCTTCTGTGGAAACGGGAATTTCATGGGACTACTTGAAAGCGGGGTTATTAAATATGTGGCCAAGTGGTTTTCCTACTGGTAGTGCTGTAGTAGCTTTTCTTGGAAACTGCGAACTGGCGGCAAGGCCATCTGCACATCTGCACGATATCACCATATCACCATCCATGCATGCAATAATCACCAAACGAGAAACCGGAATTATTGACACAGCGCCTGGGGAAGCCTCACTTAGCGTTCCGGCGAAGAGTGAGCGGTGTGTGGTACATGTATTGTGGTATTAATACCGGCCAAAAAATCTTCCAAGAAAAGATTCTACGTTAGGGTTAAAGCTAGTTTCAAAGTTGACAGCCTCACAGCCTCAAAAGATCTCGATTCTCGATATTACCATCATGACACCACTACTTGCACTACCAACCTTGTTGGCGTTGTTGTTGGTTCTGTGCCTTTTTGATTCTGTTTGTTCCTTCCAGTCTCGTTCCCTACTATTAGTAGCGACAACCAAGAATAGCAATAGACGGCAGTATGATGGGATCATTCTTCCAGCATTGGCAGATGATGACGATGCGGCACAACAGCGACAGCAAGACCGATTATTGTCACTCTTGACGTTTATTCAAAATCGCGAGGGAGTACCGCGAGCTCCGTGTGGATTGGATGCCAAAGAGAAGGAACAAGCACTGGTGGCGTCCGTCATTGCACAAGTGGAACAAGATGACAGTCTCAACAAGGTGATTCTGCAAAATGGAAAAATTACATTCCAGGACCTTTCGGGAAACTGGGAACTGCTCTATACCAGTTCCAGGACCATGATCATCAACAAGAGTTTGAGTGGGCTGGGGCGATCGTCCTCGGAATATTCCCAGTTTGTCAGGCTCGTTCAAAAGTTGGGTGGTTCCAAGTAAGTAGTCGAGTTCTTAGCTAGTCTATTTTGCCTCGCTCTCTCTGTCGCCACACTAGTCATGCCGGGCGTTGTCATACAACGGTACTCTCACAGTTTCAATGTACGCTCTTCTACTACTAGATTCCTTGGAACTGTGGAATTTGTCGAAGTGTTTGGAACTAGAGCCGGCACTACTGGATTCGTTGAAGAAGAAGACGATGGTACATCTTTGGAGGTTAGTATCACGGGAGAGTGGTATACCAAGGACGAACGCAATCTCTTTACCGGCATGCCAACGACGGCCATTGCCGTCGACCTAGAAAAGCTTGTCTATGGCCCCAGTACCAATGCAGCTCAGGATTGGTCCAGTTTGGGACCCATTAAACTGTTGGATCTGCTATACCTCTCCGACGATATCATGATTTCTAGAGGCAATGTCAACCCCGAGTCTCTGTTTGTCTGGAGGCGATTACTGTAGCGCTCTCCAGCGAAACCAAATACAGTATACTTTGCGTTGGCGTACAGTAATCCATGGCTGCGGAGACTTACTACTACCGTACACGAGTCACGTTGTTCGCTTTTACTCGGAATGATTGAAGATTCAGTCAATCAAAACGTTTTTGTTGGGGTTACTGGTACTGACTTTCCCAACGAATAGTAGCGAGCCCTTGGGAAGCAAGATTAAGTCATATGAAAACACAGCTGAAAACACACACACCTTGTCGAATTTGCATTCGTCCAGTTTGACTCCGATTTTGCCGACAAACTGAAGCCCTTGTTGGCCGTGGGAGGGCGGATTGAGGTCAAACTGTCCATGTCCACACGTTCCCATGGAACCAAATCCTGAAATTTGCCTTCTTTTCCTACTAGTAAGCTTGGCCCTCTCTGGCTTGCTTCCGTAGATAACTACCCTACTCTACTCTAGTGGCGCTAGCTAGCTAGTGGCTACTGTGCTTGCCTACATACCTACCCCTTGCTTGTGGAAGGATGGCCACCATTGATGATTGAAGGTTAGATTCGATTCGACTCGATTCTCCTTGAACATTCGATTGATCATTTCAAATCGAATAATTCGACTTTGGTTGCTTCCAATTCCTCCGAAACAACCTGCCATGCAACCCCACAATCCGGTGAAGCTCTGCATGCAACCATGGCGTCCAACCGCATTCGTTCTCTAAAGAAGCTGTCAGAGACGCAGAAGACGCGTCTATTGGAAGTGCTGATCGAGACGGCTCCACAAGAGACAGTGGATCACGCATTGGCCGAAGCCACGAAACCCCCCATCTCGATCGTTGATGTGGACCTGGTGGCGCGTGTCTTTGGTGTCTTGGAGTGGACCGAAGTCCTTCAGGCCAGAGTCTGCAACAAAGAATGGAAAGAAGCTGCCGAGATCGCAGAAATCCAGTGGTTTCTTGTTGCAGGTTTGAAGGAGGCACGCCAACTTGTTCGACTATCAAGCGTGCTGCCAAACATTTGCGGCATCGGATTGGACTGTGCCTTGGTCCTTGCTTGGTCAGTGTACGGTACTTGTGAGTATTGCGAACAACCGCCCCAAAAGTTCAAATACGATTTTCGTGGTGAAGATGATTTGGTTGTGAACGCCTTGTCCAAAGTGCCAAAGCTTCAGAAATTGGTCGTTTACCAGAAGCGATGTGATTGGCTTGATGGAGCCTTGCCTGCTTCCCTCTTTGACTGCCCAAGTTGCAAATTCTAGACCTTCGATCGGTGTGGGCATTCAACTTGACCTTTCCATTGTCTCGGGTATGCCTAGTTTGACACACCTTGACTGCTGTGATTGTAGCAAGGTGACGGGGAACATCGAATGCTTGCGGCTCTTGAAATCCACCTTGGTGGGCCTTGAACTGACTTTTTGCGAGAAGGTGACGGGTTTTCTTCACGACCTTGCCGATTTCCCCAAACTAGAGACCGCCTTCACAGCGTGTACCGACATCCGATGCGACATCCGGAACATTGGCCCGGATGACTTCGCGTCTCTGGAGCACTGAAGTTTGGGGTTGTCTGTGTGGCCCGGATGGGACAATCCCTCTTCGACACGAGAAGCAGCCGATATCATGCAAGCTCTTTACGCCTTCAAGAAGGCAAGACCCGTTTTGTACAACGAAATTGAGGCTCCGTGCGAACTACGATCGCTGCGCAGCGATTCTCCAGAGCGCTACAGCGTCCCGAATGGTGCCCCACCGCCGCCGTTTAGCTTTGACTTTGTTGAGGTGGGCCCCCGACTGGGCTGGAGATGGACAAACGAAAAGCAGGGTGGATGCTGTGAAATCCAATGGCTCGATCCAGAACCATACGAAGGAGGCTTCGATGACTGCACTGTGTACCTGAAGCGGTATTCTGAGATTCGACAGGAGGATGTCAACAGCTTTCGCGGGTTTCTTCAGCCTCCTACTCGCGAACAGTATCTTGCGCGTCGCAACTCTGACAGGCACGACAGCTCCGTAGTGTAGATGAATGTTGAACTCTGGTATACGTGGGTGCTGGGTGGGCGGCAGTTTGAACGACACTGGCGGGGCACGAGATCGAATAGCGGAACAGACCGAGGAGCAACGAGACGGCTGGAATACTAAACCGGTATCCAGTCAAAGAGCATTCAATATAGACATCCTTGTAGATAGATGCAGTGCATGATGAATTAGATACAGATACTTCTTCACACCTCTACTTTTGCAGTAACTTCAATGTCTCCATCCGATTCAACTGATACATCGACTATCACCTTGGCAAACTCTGCATTCATGAATGAATACAACACAGTCTCGTTGGTGCCAGTCAATGTGATCCAACCATTTTCCCCAATAACTTCAGTCACCATGCCATCTCCAAACAGGTCAGAGACCACCAATTTGTAGGCTGCGCCAGAAGTCAGTGTGAGTATGTAGGAGTGCAGGTGATTCTTTGCTTGGAGCCCACCTTTGGATTCTTGAAGAGTCTTCCAAACGTTTGTCAGGTTGCCCTCATTTTGCTGCCAGACCCACTCTGTTTCCTCTGGCCAGATATCAGTGTATACATTCAGCACAACAGCAATGGCGCCCCCTTCTGCACTGACTGGTGGTGGAATTCTTCCAGGCCAAACTGGATATTCGTCGAGATCTGAACAGGTTGATACCAAGGAAATGTTGCCAGAACAATCACACCAAAAAACTGAACAAAGCTGTGGCGGAACTGTTCCTGAGAATTGGTTTCCATCCAATCTCAATGCAATGGATGCATTCAGCTCATGGGGAAGCAGGCCGGTCAGCCTGTTGTCTTGGAGATACAAGGTTTCTAATGAGGTCATCAAGCCAATCTGGGTTGGTAATGTCCCTGTTATGTAATTGTTCGCAAGGTCGAGCACTTGCAGTGATTCCAAGAGGCCAGCTTCAGCCAAAATTGAACCAGAAAAGGAGTTACCAAAGAGCAGGATTATCTCCAAACTGGGCATGTGCCAAATTGGCAACGTGCCAGAGAAAAAGTTGTCATTGAGCGTCAACTCAGAAAGACTTGTCATCAACATAAGTTCGGTTGGAAGGGAGCCAGACAGTGTGTTTCCTTGTAGATTGAGGGTGTCCAGGTTGGTTATCAGTCCCAACTCACTTGGCACTGAACCAGTTAGGCTGTTTACATAAAGCAAGATCCTTGACATGTTGGTCATAAGTACAAACTCGGAAGGCATGGGGCCTTGTATGTGATTGTACCCAAATTTCAGAATAGAGAGGCTTGGCATTTGATACAGTTCTTTTGGAATGAGATGGTCAAAGGTTCCACCAATGCCATTGTAGCCCAAGTCAATCTCCGAAAGGGAAGTCAGCCATGTGATCTCTGGTGGAATTGATGGCCGCATTCCTTCCAGCACCAGATCTTGCAAGATCAATGAGGTGAATTGTCCATGTCCATTACAGGGGCTCAATTGCTCCTCAGGAGGGTATTCAAAGTACTCGTCAGTGTTGACGTTGAAATATCCAAACCCCGTGGAAAACCAATAACACTCCTCCTTGCTATCGTCCATCCATCGATCTCGGATTTCTTTGCGCCAGCTATCCCCTTCAAATGCAAAGAAGAAAGTTGCCAAGACAAACAGTTGTTCCTTCCTCCATTCTGGTAAGTTGGTGATGTTCTGGTGGTTGGAGAGCCATCTGAATGCTTGGGATTGGGGTGTGCTGAAATTTCTCAGGCTTTCCAATGTGTAGTTTGGAAAATTTTCCATTAGAACATCCAGAGTCCCAGAAGGAGCAGATGATGGTGAAACTGTGGGTGGAAAAGATGGCTGCTCTGTAGGACTCTCAGCCTCTTCTGGTGATGAAACACTGCTGTTTTTGATGCCCACAAAGAGGCCCACAACTGTACAGAGAGCAGCAACCAAAAGCAATCCTACTCCCAGTGGCCTGTAAGGAACTGGGTCATGATTCCTAGATTTTGGTTCCACTGCTCGTGCTTCTGTCAGAGCTTGCCCGAGGTCTTCATCGTCCACAGCTCTGGCTTCTACCAGCCCTTCTTCCTGGACAACAACAAAAGGCTGTACACTATTATCACCAGCCCCACTTGGCATGTTTCCAAGTTCCAACATATTAGAAGTCTCTGGGTTGTTAAAAACTTCTCGCATGTGAGATGTCTCTTGGTTGTTCCCGCGAGGTCTCACTGGATAGGCCCCTGGTTCTTGGTTTGTCTGGACATTTCTATCTCTTTGAAGTCTAGTGGCTGGTAGTGGTTCTGGCAACTGTGTCTGTAATAGGCTGATGATTGCTGATCCAGTGAGATCCCGTGGTACATTAACAATGTGGCTTTCTCGCTGCTCTTCCTCTTCTTGCTCAATTCTATCGTTCTCTTCCGTTAGTATTGGTCCTGGTACTCCTCCCATTGCGTAGGCACCTGGTTGACCAAAGCCTCTGTGATTATTGTTGTTCTCAGCATTCTTACGAGCAACAAATATATTCACAACCTCATTTTCTACAGTCTTCTGCACTACGCTAAAAGCTAGTGTAAAGATCTTTCGAGTGTTTTGAGTTTGAGAGAAAGAAAGTTATGAGAGGATTAGAAAGCTATGAAAACTAATCAACGAGAGAGATCCACAATCAAAGGATCGTAGATCTGAACTCCCGCGGGAGACTGTAGAGTGAGATAGAGTAGGTTGCGGTAGCAATCCTACTCGTTCCACATCCAAAAACGGAACGCGTTGGAAGATTCGTCTAGCATTCATCTAGTGCGTGGAAGTACTCCACGCTGGCTAAATATTAGAGCGATGTTTCATCATCAACCTAGTATGACTAGAGCGGTCATTGAGATTCTGTCTCCAATGACTAATCGCGAAGAGACTATCATGAGTCGAACTCAGACCCTCTATCTAGGATCGAGTCCGGAATAAGGCTAAGAGCCGTCTTATTGCATTGGCTAAGAGCCGTGATTGCATTCGCCCCTGACAAGGGTCACGGAAGGCACGACATCAGTCGGACAGGAGAACATATGAATTAAATGTCGGGGCACTCTCCGGAGATTGATGTAGACATGTGCGTCGCACGATGGCAATCCTACAAGGGATCAGGCCTTGTATGGGTGTTAAATACCTTATGTTCCAAGTCTTGGTAGACTGTGCCGCTATTGGCGGTAGTAGTTCGGAGCCGTTAAGTGCCATTGTTATTGAATCGGTCTGTGTTGTAAGGACCTGTGCGTTGGCTAACGGTTCTGATATTGATGAATCATATAGTTCGTTGAAATGGTGTTGACGAGGGACAAGTGCCGTGTTCTCTTATCGTGTTTTTCTGGATAATCGTTGGGCCGTTCCTTAATGTATTTCCGGTTTCTTTGAAACGGATGTGGTGAAGCTTGTCCGATTGACGCGTGAACTGCGACGAATCCATTTCATCCCGTATGTCTTTTCGACTCTCTCGCGGACTCACGTTCTCTTTCCATTACACCGTCATGGATACTTGGTAAACCTACGTCTGGTTCAGAACGTGGTTACTCCGTCTGCTGTCTTGGAGCAGCCCTTGGTAGTTCATTGGTCCAATGAATCTACGATGTTCCTTCTGTGTTGTGGAAGGAGCGATAGCTGGATCCATCTTTATCTTTTTGTTAAGGGTTGGCTTCCTTCTCGAGATCCATTGTCTATACTCAGTTCTTCCTATCGAGGAAGACCTTGTAGTGTTGATTTCAAGCGACTTCTTGGAGTCTTTGGAAAAGGTCATCTTATACTATTCAACGCGATCATCCAGATCGACGTCACGTTAAGGATGAGTTGAATCATCACGTATGCACGGACATTTTCTATCGTCATGCATGCGTGCTTTCATCTTTCTTGAAGATGTCGGAGCAAATTACATAGGCCCATTGGCAAATCCTCGGTACTCGTACTTTCCATTCGGGAGTCAATAGGTACATGAGTTGCTTCGATTTAGGTGACAGCTCGATTGGTAGTGATCCCGTTGTTCAGGTCTAAGACTAGTAGCGACTTGAATACATCTAGGTTAAAGAGCATGTCCTTATTTTTGGATAGGATAATGGCTTCCGCTTAAGTCCGTTTTGTTCATTCCCGGAATTCAGAGTATGAATCGTACAGATCCATCTTTCTTAGGAAATGTAAAGGTGGTGCCGCGCCACTTGAACGATTACCTTCTTGAGTGCGCCTGTCTCGAGAGAGTTCAACCCTTTTAAGAGCTGTGGTGATGGACTCGTGGAGTAGGGTGAGCCTTAGTGTAATAGGATTTAATGTCGGGACGAAGTTCTACTTCGGTTTCGTCCATTCGCAACTCTCTCACAGTATCTTCGACTGGGCTCGAAGCACTTGGTTGAAAGGTATGAAGCAGTTCTTGCTTCCTTTGTTTAGCGGTTCGACTCTGGCATTTCTGCCTTAAGTCTATTTGTTCATATGTCGTATCAAGAATCTTCTTGAGACTATCTGATTGTCGCTGACAGCTGCATAATCAGAAATGGGGAAGTTCTCCTTTCTATGTGGTATTGCTCTCGTTCGCCGGGATAAAATGCAGGTTCCACCCCAATGAAATGTAGAGGGGGGGTGAAACTCAAACTTGATTCTTAGGTCGCTAGAGAGTGTCTTGTACCTATTGATCATTCTCTTCGCCCGCCAAGTTTCTTGGTGGCGTGCTAATTCCCCTTGATCAATTCTATATCGGTGGGAACTCAGGAATCGCGAGTGTGCCCTTACTTTCGTGAGGGTCTTCAATCCTTCATAGAAGCAGTCCACAATGTTTGGACGCCCCCATGATCTTCATGAGTAAACTCTTAGAATGAGATTGAGCAATTAAAATTCCAGATGCTTCTGTATACAGTAAGCAACAGAATGTAACGGGTTTTCGTTTCCCTTTCGCCCGTCTGTTAAATCTAACATAGACAATAGTTTCGAGGTCTCTTGTCTGCGACGTTGATGAGTTATGGCCATGGACGAAGTTAACGATCCTGAACAGATCCTCAGTGTCTAGTTGAGTAACTACTAGGCAATTATCTAATTTCCCGTAGA